CTCACAAATAACAACATATAGGCCATTTTATGAATTTAATATTTTAATTAATGTTATGTCATGTATTATTATGAAGTTAAGAACCATGTTACTAATGGAATTAAGACACAAAAGATTACTTGGGAATATCCTTAAACAAACTCAAAAAACAAAATGTATAATTATTAATTATGTTGTATTTCACTATGACACTATGAAACAAATTACACAATTATTTGTTAATATTAGTTTGGGAACCATAAAAATGATTTTAAATTACAACTGAATACTAAGGAGAAATAAATAATGTTAATGTTAGTTTATTGGTGTTGTTGGTGTTGTGGCATTAATTTTAGTCGATTTTTAAACTGCCAAAATATGAAACGACTTTAAAATAATATTATATCTTTGCCAAATCATAATATTTAAGCTAAATACATTTTAAAACTACAAACATTAATACGTTATTATTGTTATAAAAAATGTTTATACTTACAACAAATAATAACACTGAATCGAACAAAACGCAACTATAGGGCCATAGTGTTGAATCAAAAATATTACAACCAAATACAAAATGAGTATAAAGCTATATGTTGAAGGTCATGACACTTGAAAAGAATTTATTGAGGAGGGATATTGTCTGGAATGTGGAATTCAATTAAGGGTCAATCTGGTTCTCAATTACATAGTTTCATAAAACCACAGCGCTTCACATTGTTAAGCACTCCAATTCGAATTATCATCACATTTTATTCAAACGATTAATACACGTTCGTTATATTTTTATATTAAAATMTAACCAACTGCTAGATAATAATAAGTTTTAAAAACATTCCAATAAACTAGATAATGTATAAAATTAAGTTAGTAGGTAATAATAACTATACAAAGGTTTTTACCTGTTACACAGTTTATTAAGATACAATTAGGTATTTGCCTTGTTTTTATCTATTTAAAATTCAAAAATTAATTTATTATGGTTAAAAACAATAATTAGGATTAATTTTCGTATCTAATTATAACTCAATAAAAGATTTTGATTCACTTTAGATTTTTTCGAGAGGCAAAAATCGTTCCGAATTTTCTAGATAGTAACTCAAAATGTACTGCTTGTRTTTCAACTACTAAATTATACTGGTTATTTTAACATAATGATATTTTTAAAAATTTAGTTAAATTATTACTAAATAATAACTGAAGAAATGTAAGGAAATCAACGCACATTTTTTGTAAGCCGGCTTACGCACGTGCAAGTCCCATTAGACAACTATAAAAAACGCATTCATATTTGTACCAGATTTGCAAAAAACGTAATAACACTGATTACATTACAGGCATACCTAAATATTTTTATCATGATCTAAGCAATATAATATTACATTCTTAGATGAATACTTACAAATTATGAAATACTATTTTAAACGAATGAAATTTATATTTGTAGCAATAATAATAATAGTTCACATATCACATAGTACGATAGATAATTTTAATACTAGATTTGAACTGGTATTGTAATTTGTAGGGTGTATATATAAGGCGATTTTTTCAAATAGTAAACACGCGTTACCAATTCTTGATAATTATGATTGAAATATTAACGTTCAACAAAAATTTTCTCATTTTTAAGGTGTGTACTTTTTAGAATGACAACACACATTTTTGATTTAATATACTTTAGCAGAATATTTTTAGACAATTTAGATTTATAAAACTAATAGTTAGTTAACAATTTATAAATATTAAAAGTTTTGGTAAACACTTCTTTAGGGGATTAACATTTCGCGAGGTTCCTATGCCACTCCACAACCAACATTTTAAAATTTAAATACATATTATATATATAAATAGTTACTTATGTCCGATTTATAGGTATATATATTTTCTATTTTTGAATATGAAATTGCAAATTTGTTTGTCAATTAAAAATTAGAAAAATAAAAAGATAGAATAATCAATATACATAWATATTTTTTTTTCAAAAATGTTTTATAATGACTAAAGAATGAAAAAATAATAATATTTTCAAAAGCGTCGACAAATAATTTGTGTTAACTGTTAAAAATAATTAACCAGTAAAGTATATATTAATACTATTCATAACTAACTAAAAATTAATACATAAGTTACTCACAGTATATTTATTTTTAACTTAAGTTTWAAAAAAACAGCATTAACATTAAATTTAAAAATAAACAAAACGCAGAACTATCTTAAACCGAAATGGATAAATAGATTATAGTGCCAGATTCCACGTGTATCTAACGTTACAGCAAATGAAACTAAACTAACTCGACCGCAATTGTATTTGGCTAATAAGTAGTAGGCGGCATTTATTTTTTAATATATTATATATTACTGCRAGCGTTGATAAAGATATAATTTAATATATTGTGAACCGTCTGCCGCCTCTACAAACATGTAACTATTGCTAATACACAAAAAGAAAATAATATAATTTATAATTTATAAATACGTAGCTAATTATTGATAAATAAATAAACGAGTATCAATTTTCATTAGTATTACATAATATAGAGTAAAATAATTTTATGTGAAAATTACCATCACGATGAAACTCTTAATTTATATTGCTCATACAAAATATAGAGTAATATTCTCATATATTTGWTTTAATACCTAATTGGATTGACCTAAACGTATTCCTGAGGTTTTTAATTTCATAAGAACTTTAATGCTTGGCTTGATTTAAATACCTACAAATTCCCGTTGTTATAAAAATAATATTAAAGACATAAAGAATCTACATAATATTTTATTTCAAAATAAATTGTTCATTTTTTTAGAATTTAAATAATATAATAATTACACATTTAATTTATATTTCTAAGATTTAAAATATATATAAATATATATTTATTTATTATTGTTATTTGTTTTTAAACTAATTTAAGTAAGAATAAATACTTTCAAAAAACGTAAAAATCATTTAATAATAATGAGGGTCTAACATAAAATGGATCTCCTACCCCATAATGTAATTTTTAGTATAACCATGCTTTAATTTCGTCAGTTATAAAGCTAGACTATAAATGTTATAAATACCTYGTTACCTTAATGGACATCTTGTTTAACATATTATATTCATTTTATTAAAAACATTTATATGAATTAATTTTAGATAATATATTTTAGAAAAATTCACAAGTTTTTATTCAAAACATAAAACTAAAAATACACTGATTTGTTTTATAAGTATAAATTATATTATACTATATAGTATTATACATGAATTGATCATTAAGGTAACGAGGTATTTATAACATTTATATGAATTAATTTTAGATAATATATTTTAGAAAAATTCACAAGTTTTTATTCAAAACATAAAACTAAAAATACACTGATTTGTTTTATAAGTATAAATTATATTATACTATATAGTATTATACATGAATTGATCATTTACACACTTACACAGCTGACTTGTAGAAAGCAGTGAAGAATAATGATTATCACCAAACAACTTGTAATTCCATTACCAATAAATGCTGCAACCACTAACCAGTATATTATATTTATTTTTTAAATACCACAATCAAAACACTCCAGGAATTTAGGAACTACTTAACACAAGGTAAATAAAAAATTAACTATTTACCTACCTAAATACGTTATATTATTTTTAAATAAACAGAAGAACACGAACAATTTGATTGATGAAAAGAAAGAGTTGGTATACTTCTCAGTAAAATGTAATTTAGACACTTTATTAGTGTAGTTAACGATTGTCAACCTTGATAATGACTGGAATTCTAAATAGGAAGGTAACATAGAAACATAAAAACTGCATTATCAACCTCGAATATAAAGTGATATAACGAAGAATCCGGTTTCTCTCCAATCTAGATAAGAAAATAATATTTATTTTGTATTTGCAATGCCATACACGTGTATTGCAAAAATA